TTGGATATCTCCGCCATATTTTGACCAAATAGGCTGATTGTTGTACCCCTGATAGAGGATACTTCATTGGTCGTATTCATAAGAAAAACATTGAAAAATACCTCTTTGAAGTATCACTCTTGACTTCAATAAAGAAGTGTAGCCTTTCAAGACTTATGAAACAACAACGTATTTATTTCCGTGTCCAAAAATAAGCGACAGATTTAATTTTTTGATTTCTACACACTATTGTCGTTTGGTCTCATATTTATACTACAGATATATGTCTTGTTAGTCAATATACCTTGAAATTTTCAGTCACAAACGACGAAAATTTGTTGAGAAAACAGCGAATGTGTCTCATGTACACTTCTGAGATTTATATCAAAATTTGCTGTAATGCTTGTCCTAGTATGGCGTTTATTTTTGGCCACGGAAATACAATGAAGAGAAAGAAGGTATAGATTTATCAGATCAGCTATCAGATACTATACATGTCTCAGATGATCTATAAAATGATAGCAAATGGTGGTATTTGAATTGATATTTGGAATGGCAATAGTTAATAGCTATTTGATTTACGAGAAAAGCTATGCCACAAATGACATGACCATTCTGCTGTTAAGAGAAAAGCAAGAACAACAATCAAGAGAAGCAAGTCATGCGACAACAAAGAAAAAATAAATAAAAACCTTCTGTTCTGATTGTGACAAGTTTTTTGTCTTGATTGTTTTAACGAGAAGCGTTACGCTATGCAATAAAGGATTCAAAAAATACCGAAGGCAGAACAGATGATACATTATGTGTAATCTCCTGTCTAAGAAAAACAGGAAACGAAAGGGTTTCTCTATTAAGTTTGTTGTTAAAATGTAGTGGGACCCACCGGTGAGTCCCATCATCTCGAATGTATTAAATGAACTTTGACTGTAAAAAGTCTTTTTCGCCTTTTTTACATTGTGCTCAGCGCAAAAATCGAGTTCTGTCAGCATGGCCTACTTACGACCTCCAATTAACTTTCCCTGATTAGATTGAAACTTTAGTAGCGATGCCTGAAAATATTCTTTAGATGTAAAATTGTATGTTCAATTTATGACTTTCTGGTTCGAGATTATAGGAGTTTTTTAAATTGCAAGCTGGTTGTTGAGCTGGGACGTTGCAGTGTGTTTTGCATCAATAACCAAAGCAACCAAGATTTATCATGAAGATCAGGAATATATCGGAAAGAAGTGTGGCAGGTTCGACAAAACTATATACTTGCAAACGTGACAAAAGATGCCCTCGAGAAATGTGACTGAAAATTCAAAAAAAGATCCAAAAATTGATAAAGATACGTAGAAAACCTTTGCCACTGATCCAAACACCAACGTTACTGATACAAACACCGAGAATTTAGGAATTCATTTTCATTTCTAGATCCTATCCTTTCGTCTATGGAAAATAAGCAGGAAAAAAGCAATGAACATTTTTGTAAAAACTCAATGTCTGCACTTTTTGGGTATTCAGAGCTTTCAGTATTTCGAGTAAATTTCCTCCAAAACAAAGGCTATCCGAAATTTTTTTAATCAAAATGCTTAGAATTGATAGTTCTACAAACCCCGACAGTGTCGTCAAAACCGGAGACAACTTTTGTACGCGTAGTTGAGACCCGATAGAAACAGCCAACCAGTTTCAACGTTACCCCAAGAAGGCTTAGATATGTGTATTTTGCTTGGAAATCAGAAGTAGATGAACGATAGAAAGCAGTTTCATGGTATATAAAATGCAATGAGTAGAAACGCAGCCTGTCTCTAAGCAAGAAAAAAATCTATTCATCTATTTCAACGTATTCTCTTTCTTTTTTTCCACCTATTCAAAGAAAATGGATTTAATTCTTTTGTTACGGCGTCCGCATATATACGAACTGCATTTTTACATACATACATTATAACTATATAATGTCCTCTTTTCCCTGTAGCATAAAGTTGCTCTTATTCTCTTATGTTGCTAGTATCAAAGCGTCATGATGTGATACTACTTGAGGTTGTGGGTGTGGGTGGGGTGGGTGTGAGTGTGGGGTGGTGGTGGGTGGGTGTGTGAGAGTTTTTTCCATCGACTTCATACTCATACACACACCCCATCCACACCCACCACACCCACCCCACCCCCACATCCACACCCCACATCTACACCCCACCGACACGTACACCCACCCACGCCCACCCACACCCACATCCACCCTCACCCACACCAACACTCACCACACCCACACACCAACACGCGACACCTACCCACACCCACACCAACACGCACACCCAGCCGCTCTCATCTTCAATTTTCCAAATGAAGGTGATTTAAATAGTAACAGCCCCACTTTCTTTGTCTTTGCCCTTTTTAATGGCATTCCTCATGCATTTTGTTTACACTGTCCTTTTGTTCCTTTCAAGCATATATGATTGCGATTATTTTACTCGAAATCATTTAAACAAATATTTCGCATTAGACGGCGTTCCTTCGCACACTCGCCGTCATTGAAGAACAAAAAAGGGTTAACGAAATGCATCTCACATCAATAGCTGCGGTACTCCTCCTAATATTCATCAACGCTTATGCAGGTAAGTTCCCTATATAAATTTCATATTATAAGATCTGTAGAACTTTTTCTCGGACATTACTCGGCCTAGTTGCAACTCTGACAGAGCCCAAGCAGATCAATGCAAGCACGTCCAACTCAATCACACTCTACAAAATCTACACAAAACGTCAACCGACAGATGATGTTTACGCATTTGTCTCAAGTGAAAATTTTGTTTATGTCCCATATTTGAATGAAGTGTTTCATGTAACAAAAAATACGTTGTTCCGAATTATCTTCCAGGACTCGTTCTATTTTGGTGGTGAAACCCTCGTCATGTTAGTCCAGATTATGGTTAATGATTATCTTATATTCGGTAACACTATCGCGCCAAACACAAACCAACGACTAAGTGGAAGTCTCATTGCAAGCGACGAGAATGTCGATGGATTAGGTGGCTACGTGTACATTATAAATACCTATGCTATTATGCCTATTAATCGCTTAGCTATGATCTATCTTCCTCCCAGAACTTATACATTTAACCTTGGTGTGCGACAAAGAATTAATTTTAAAGGAAATGGACGCATATGTAGTGGACTGGTAACATACGAACTGACACAATTTCAAAACAATGAGAGCGATCTTGGCGATATCCAGTTAACCACATTGCCAAAATAATGTACAGGAGTAACTACATTCTGGGTAGGACCAGAGAGTTAAAATAACGCCAAAAACTGCCGTTTCCACGTTTTCATCTTTTTGATACTTTTTTGTTGAATCTTTCAGTATTTGAGTATAATTTTAAGACAAAAACTTTTCGATTTTATTAATTACTCAATATCCAGAAAAAAACCACTAAATCTGATCGACCACAGAATTCTGTCCCATTTTTATATATTACACCAAATGGCGGGTGTGGCTGTGACGGTGGGTGTGAGTGTGGGGTGTGAGTGTGGGGTATGACTGTGGGGTATGACTGTGGGTGTGGGGTGTGCGTGTGAGTGGTGGGGGGG